TTAATTGTAACGGGTTTGATGGCTGAATTTCCTTTTCAAAGAACTTACTTTTGTGAGGTAAAAAAGCTTCCTCGTTAAATGTCTTAACATTAAGCAGATATTAGACTAAAAATATGCCTATTTATACATGCTACAAAATATTGTTTAAAGAGAAAAAGTGGTCAAACAAAAAAAGAGAAAAATACATAAACTATTGGATGATGCCATATTATTATAATTCATGACGCTGCAGATATATAGATTATTGTTTCATGATCATCAATTCTTACGTTAGCTATTACATCGGCACATCCCACATATTAACAAAAAAGAAACAATTTTCCTCCCTCTTCATGCCATAAGCTTAACATCATTGTTAAAGAATATGGTATCCATACTTGAACTAAAATAAATAACCTCAGAAATTTTATTTATCAGAAAAGAAAGATTACAAAAGGTAATTTTAAAGAAGAAGAACCAACTATTTAAAGAAAGAAAAAGGAAGGTAAAAGCCTAACAAAACTAACTGTAACTAAACAAATTAACTAAAAAGGGAAATGGGCTAAAGAGAAAAAGCCCAAAACAAAACAAAACAATAAAACAGAAAAAGAAATAAACTCAGGTAATAAACCCAGGCAAGACAAACACGAAAAATAGAAGGAAGCCAAGCCTAAGGCAAAGTCAAGGTGAATCTTTATTGTCTTCATCTTTGTTGATATCATTTGGTTCAGCCTTGAACTCTAACAATCATCTATCACGTGATTCGGGCAAAGTGCCAAAAAAGGATAGAGATAATTTCTGGAAAGATCGAAGAAATTTAGGGCAGTGCCTCACTATTCATGGTCCACAATAATAATTTCTTTGTCGCCCCATCCAACAAGGATCCCAATATGTGTTTTTACCATATGGTGTATTAATGAAAATATGTTATATTAATTAATTTTTTATTTATTTTTATTTTATTATTATTGGTGCAATACATAATTTGAAACAACAGATCTTCCTTCCTATGTTCATGATTGGAATTTGAACTTGGATCATGCTAACAGATTTATATAGTTTCATAGGCCATAGCAATTGTTTTGTGAAGGGGTTGGAGTTTCTCTTTTCTGTTTGGGCTAAACCCACCATTTATTATGTACATGGCTCGTTCTCATAACCACTGCCATAACCTTCTGGAAGATTCGACCCTCATCACCTAACCCTAAATCCCAACCAGACTATAACTTGGTTCCTACCCTAACTGAACCTGTAATAACAAACCCACCATTGCTGAAACCTTTGGTTCTGACGGAGGATATTGACGGCGTGAGGAAGGTGAAGTTTACAGTGTATTATGAAGAGGAGGAAGTGCAGTGCAAGTGCAGTGAGAAGGAGAAGTTGTTAACGGTGACGGTAACGGAGGATTGGAATGAAGAAGAAGAAGAATTGGAATGGTGGAAGAGGGTGTTGAGGTTTAGAAATGGAGAGAATGAGAATGGATGGTACACGTTTCAGGATTTGACGGAGATTAACGGTAACGTTGTGAGATTATGGGATGGTGGGTTAAGGCTTCAGAGTGGTTAAAGATGATTAAGAACACGGATATTATATGAGCATTCATATAGTTAAAAATATATATGTTACACGTACATTCAGATAGTTAAAAAAATACATGTTCCCCGTGTATTTGTATTGTTAAGAACACACATGTGAATCGTGCATTCACATGGTTTAAAACACACATGTTACTTGTACATTATCATTGCTAAGACCACATATGTTACTTGTACATTAGTTAAAACAATCATGTTACCCGTACATTCATATTGTTAAGAACACAAATGTTCCCTGTGTATTAGCATATTCAAACACATAATGAAAATTGGAGAAAGAAATAAACAATGGGAAAATGATTCAATTTGAGAATCAATAATGTGTATTTAATAATAATAATAATGTATAATAAATTATGATTTTTGGTGAAATGAATTATTTTTCATCAAAGTTTAAATGGAATATTTGATAAGAAAATGTCAGAATATATATGAAACAGGCCATTGTATAATTGTGGAGATGTTTGGGTGGAAAAAATTCACCCAACTATTGACACGTGTCCAAGAGGAGCTCTTTGGAATCTGTTAAATGTCTATACTTGAATATAATTAGTAAAGGTGAGAAGGTTGGAGAAATAAATTTGTTTGATCTTATTGAGTTATTGATGAATCAACTACCCAAATTAGATTGTATAATGGTTAATGGAGAAGATGTTAAATTGGAGAGAGAAAAATGCAGAGGATTATATTTACATATTTAAGTAAAAAAATACACAAAATGATCTCAATTATTTTTTATTTGTTTCAAATCTTAAATGATGCATTAATTATCACTTACAAATTTCTTATAATCAAATTGAGTTATTATCCATTTATTCACATTTAAATTGCATTTGTGATTTCTCCTCTCAAATTCACTACATTGAGTCTACATTTTTTATTGTAATGATATTAATGAATCATTTAATTTGAATGTTAAAAAAATTTGAAGTAGGTAGAAACTATTCATGTTCTTAAAATTAAGAATTATATGACCAATAATAACAATGGGGTGGTGATGTCCGCTACAACCTCAATTTTAACTTTCAAATACTCATCGTAATAGTAATTTTAAACGGAAAACATGAATAACAAATACATTTGTTGTTTATGATTTTTAATTCCAATGATAAAAAAAATTCCAATTTTTTTGAAGTGTTAGTTTAACTTTTTGTACAGATAAACGAAAAGATATAAAACGAAATGGGAGAGATTGCATAAACATAAAATAATATACACATGATTTATTGCATTGAAAATGTGCAATAATAGTGATATATTGTTACAATGTGTGAGACATCACCATAAGCAATGAACATATTTTGCAAGGAAATTTTTTATGGAGAGTGTGACATGTATCATGAAGAACATTTTTTTCTTATATAGTAATAGATGTAATATACACGTTATTCTTCAAAATTCACAAATAATACCCTCTGTTGTATAAGAAATTTTGTGAGACTAGCTAAAGAGCAATGATCCTCTCCATTAATGATTTAATGAAGAGGTAAGAGATAAGTACTATAAAATAAAAGAAAACTTAATATGATAAGACATTTTTATTCTTTTATATATAATAGAATAACACTTTTGGCATTAAAAATACAAGTAAAATCAATAGTACTTATCTCTCCATTAAGTATGATCATAGCTGAGGACAGTACAGGTGAGAAATGGAGAAACAATGAAAGCGAAACTTTTCACACTCTTAGAAGAAACGCATGTTAATAAAATTAGCCAACAAAGATTGGGCTAAAAAAAATACTAAAGTTAATTCAATCACGTTTGTATTAGTCAAGAGACATTCCATGTCTCTCGTGTGATGTATACTGTAAGGAACATCCTGAAATTACTTGAATCTTGAATTATTGATTATATACTATTGATTGATATCCCTTTGAATAATATACTATTTTTAATATTAAACAATATACCATAGTATACTTTTCGCATTTAAAATATGATTTTAATACATAAACACATACATAGTATTAATTTTTTATTTAAATAGAAAATTAAATGATTAAAATAGTAACTGAACCAAGCTAGAAGTACTTTTTTAATTTGGATTTGATAAATTAGTTAATCAAATCTAAAACACATCTAACTTTAATCTTCAGATCAAATAACTTTTGATCTCAAAACTCATGTACGGGATAGCTTATTTATGTGTTTCAATTTTTTTGAGGTGCCTTTCTTTAATTATTATTCTTTATCAACTTTAGAGTTTCAAATTTTCCAAATGAAGAAGGATAGCTTATTTTTTGGAAAACAACATTGAGTATTTAAGGGAATTTGAGAACGAGATAACTTGATGATGCATACATTCTTAGATGACCGATTTTTCCATTTTTTTTCCTTTGCCATTTTAATCTCTATGGCCTCATTTCCTCTCCAGAACTCCAGAAGGATTCGAGATAATTTTCATCAAATTTAGTCACTAGAATATAAGGTATATATATATATATTTACACGCAATTCTAAATTTATGGAAGATAGTTAGGACTTAACTGATGAAGAAATGATATTTTGATATCCAGCATATGGTGTCTCTACCCATCCTTTCCTTTGATTTGATAGAGGGATCTAAAAACACATAAATAAATAAAGGAGAGATCTATTTACTCCAAGAGTAAGTGTAAAAGATTTACTCATTATCTTAGCCATTTAATCTTAGAAAATCTAATGATTTAGATGTACTCAACAATTCAAACCATTGAATTTATTAAAAAATGAATAATCATGATGTGAAGTATGTATTTTCTACTTACTCTTAAGTGGATCCCTCCCCATAAATAAATAGATTGATGTATAAAAATACCGTGTGAGTGTTTAGATTAGTCTTACAAATAATAAAACTCTGAATTATAATTAACCTTCTCTGCACATGGGTGATGAGTATGCAAATCTTCCATCTTGCCGCAGTAATGACTTTCATAATATAACCAAGTCTACAGAAAACTAACATAATTAATTTAAATTCTAAATGCATCTATGAAATGAGGGTCATTTCTATTTTAAATAAGCCAAATAATATTATGATGAGTATATAAGGGTACCCAAACCTATTACACCAGGAACTATACTAAGGTCCTTATAATTGCACATATTAATGAGAAGAAAAAAAATCAATCAATCTAATGTCTAATTTATGTAGATCTGGTATTTGGGATCCCATCATCATTCAAGAGTTGCATATGAAAATTGAATTCTGATTTAAATATAATCTCCAGATTTAGCCAACATAGAAGAACACATTAATTCAGCCATCCATAAAAACATGAATATATTCATAGGGGAAATACAATGAAATAGTAACTGTATATACAAATAAATATCATATAGATGCAAAACTATAAATCCAAGGGGAGAATTGAAGAAAACTTACAGTGACACAGAATGAAATTCTGGTAGTGGATCAGAAAGCAAATTAGGGTTTCTATGCTTCCATTCAACAGGTGAAACTGCAACATGATCTATTCCTACCGTAATACAAAGGTAACATCAGATCATGCTGGCAGCTTCAACTATTTCAAGGGCAAGATAAGAGACTATATATATGAGCCTTCTCTCCCTCACTTATAAAGCTTATAATCTACATCCTTACTTTTAATCTTTGGCTTATTGGCTATGACTATGTGTATATATATATATATATATTATGAGAAGAAGGGTAAATGAAAAAAACTTACTCCACATCATATTCATTCAATTTTGGAAACTCCAATAATTGAATTGGTGAGTATATATAAACCATTGGATTTTCCAAGAATAGACAAGTAAGATATAAATCAGGTTTTTTCCACTTACTCTTGTACTAACTGGATACCTCCCATATATTATTATAGTACATATATATATATATATACATATATATATATATATACACATCTTGACATCTACTCTTTCTACCTCTTCGTTTCAAGTAACGTTGCAAACAGATAAGAATAAGAGTTATTGGAAGATTGCAAACGTATATAGCTAGAAAAGGCATAATAAAGGTATATGGTTCCGTTTTAGTTTTTCGTCTTCCTCTTTTGTACGTTTTATTTATCAGGCTACGTTTGGACCATCTCTGGTTTTCACTAGGCTAGTTTTGTTGTTTCTATTGTCATTTTTTTGTCTCATATATATAACTAAGATAGATCACTTTCTCTCTTTCTTTTTCTTTGTATTTTTGCAATAATGTATACTTAAACCTCACATGCATATGTTTATATATATAGGTATAAAGAATTAAAAAACCTCACATGCAAATTAAGTTAATATAGTTGTATCATAATGGTTTGGGAGAGGGAGAATGTATATTTTAATTTGTTGAAAATTTTGCATGAAAGGGATGACAGAGTAATAGTTAAATATGTGTCTGGTTACACTTTTAAGAAGATAATAAGTTAGTTAATGAGATTAATTTTTAAAAATAAGCTAATGACCTTATTCAATTAAGGAGAGTGAAAAAATATTCTAGCTTATAAACCAAATTAGACAAGCCGATGCGTACCTGACTTAAAAGCTAAAGATTTTAAGTTATTTTTATTTATTAGTTACTTAGTTGGTTGAAGGATTTTATTAAATAATATAAATTCAACCTATTAGCTTATTAGTCCTAAATTTTCAACTTATAACTTTACAATTTTATAATGTTTTGAATTTATAAGCATAAGGTTAGGATGAGGGATATACTTACAAGGAGAAAGATGCATGCATGTGGTCCTATTGTTGAAACAAATTTAATAGTATCACGCTCACGCTACCACATGTAGGACACTATAGCGAGAGTTTATATGGAACAATAATAATCTCCATTAATGGAGAGACAAATATTTGATTTTACTTATTTTTTAATAGTAAAAGTGTTATTTCATTATATATAAAATGATAAAAATGTCTTAACATATTGTTGTTTTTTTGTAGTACTTGATTTTTCATTAATGAAGATGATATTTACTACCCTTTCACGCTAGCTTTTTCTCTTACTTTCTCTGTCATATTGTCTGTGTTGTATGTAACGTTAGGCATCAATTAGAATGAACCAAATAGACTATGGGAGCAATAAGTATATGGGGACCATTCCTGTAACATAAGGTTCACACAATTACACATTAAAACAGAAAATAAGGAAACAAACAAAGGCAACGCAATTTCAAAACTTTTTCCTTTCTACAAGTGATAAAGTGCTCTACATCATTAAACTCGATCAATGTCACTCACTGATTAATAGCCTTTAGCTTCCTGCACGATAGTATATTTAAAGAAAAAGCATTATTGGCACCGAATAAAGAACAAATAAATAAAAAAACATATACTTCATTCGTTCCTTTTTAAGTATTATTTAAGATTTTTCTACACCAACCAAAACTCATCTCCAGATAACTAATATATAATATATGTAATACCCTATTATCTATGATTTATATAGGTGTAAAAAAAGAGTGGTAATGGTTAGATATTTCACACTCGATAGTCATAATATATTTCGGTTTGACTTTCCTCATTTATTTAACTTCTAATAATGACTTGTGTAGAATAATATAAGTACTTTTATATCTGTAAACATATCTGTATTAACAAACATTAATTCTTAAATAAAACTAATGAAATTAATAAATATGAATTGTAAATGATATACTAATGATATAGCCACATATATTAAACTCAATTGTTAATCATTTTCCTATTTTGGTTTTTTATCTCCTCGCCTTATAGTAACAACTATTTTTATATCTCTCCACAATTGGTTATAATTGATAAATAATAATTAGTATTATCATGAATTTTAAAACAAAAAATAAATAACAAAATATATTTTTAAATTTATTATGTTTCAATTCAAAATTTTATCTTTAATTTATAAATCAATACCTAAAATAATTATGAGTAAGCATTTTCAAAAGAAATAAGAAGTGAAATCTTATCCTACATAATTCTTTATTTGGTTTTGGTAATTACATTCCTACGAGTATTAGTTAATGACGAAAAACATAATTTTTTATTATGAAATTAAATATATCCATATTGATAACTAAACATATCACTTTCTAATATGAATTTATCAGTTTTTATTTCTTAAGCTAGTTAATTAGAAAGATATTATTTGATGTTTCAGAACGCATATCATTCTTTACTCCTTATATCACTTTCATGATTGAATTAAAAAATAAAATTGAAAACTTTATTTTGTGGGATTGAAGAAGTACCACAATAATGTGAGACAATGATATTTTCCATTAGCATTTGCATTCTTTAAATGGTGTTTTGCGACCGACATTTACATAGGTGCAACTTTCTATTGATGCCTTTCTCTTTTTTATGGAAAGAAGGATTGATAACTTTAGACTAAAATTTTCCTACCTAAATTCCACTCAACCCCCATATATCTCAAACATCATCTATATCAGACTTTGATATTGATATTAAATTAGATGAACTTAACATAGTGCTTCTCATAATTATGACAAAGGAGGTTTGTGTTTAAGTTTACCTGACATGCGTACGGGCCCAATAAATTTATTGTCTATATTTTGATATTAATAATTGAATACTATATTTAAAATAAACAATCATAATATTTTGTTGCTAGTTAATTTGAGTGATTGCTCGTGTATTTTTTAGTGTAATATATATACACTGGTCTGATGATTTATACACAATTATTCATCATTCATTTGTATTACTTTTTGAAAGTTTAGGATAATTAAATGTCAATTATGAATGATACAATATATAAAACTAATATAGAGTTAGTGCATATATTTCTCTTATTTTTTTTATAATATTAGTTGTATAAATGTTTATTGAGTGATAACTTATTCAAAGATTATAATAAGTTTTTAAATAGTCTTACTTGTTAAATATTGAACTATGTGAAGCTATACATTAAAAGTTAGGCTATGTAGAGCTATCAAACTAAGCTTTAGACTATTGCAAAGATTGAATGAATACCTCATATTTCTTATTGAATCATGATAGACATAAAGACTATTTATACAAATAGAACCATTGCTTAAGAAGCACGCAAGTGAAAAGTTAGTTAAAATAACTAACTGCAATTTACACTCTTAAAGGAACTATGAAGCTGTTAGGAAAACTAAAGGGATACAGTGAGCTCTGCTGTGCAATCAGAAAGCAAAATAAAAGGGTATGAGCAGAGGAAAAATAATGATTAAGTAGGAATGTAATGATGATTAAGCAGGGATGTTTCAATATAGACCATTATCCATGAGTTTGAAAACAGATAACCATATTTATGGGGAACTGTCTTATTCTCACTCCTGCATGCTATCTATCCTGAGTGCCAAAGAGAAAAATAAGCTTGTTTTCCTTTTGTTTTTAATAATAAAAATGTAATTTTATTGTAATAAAAAATATATGTCATTGAAGATTATATTTCCCTTTAGTTTTTGAAGCATTTGTAACTCGTTTAAAAAAATAGACATTTGTGTTTTCTAATTAGTTTTCTCAACATTTGTGTCCAACCAATCAAGCATTGAGAGCACTCAACATTTCTTTCTCTCAAACTAAATACTTTTCTCTTAAACTTCAAAAATAAGAAATGAAAGGAGAGTTTAATTAATAAGATATACAACCATACTACAAGTAAAATAAAAGTAAGGCACTGGTTAAGGTTTCATTATTGATAGAGAAAATTTCTTCAAATCTGATGAATTCATTAAACGAAAAACATGACACTTATATTTCAAAACAAAGTTTCTACTTTTTGAATTTCAACTCAACAATACTAGCTAACATGACCCATAAAATAAACACAAATTTAAGTCCTTTATATATGTTCCTTACATTGTTCCTCAATACACATAAATCAAATTAATTAAATTAATATCATTAACGAAATAAACATTGATAATAAATGAATATTAGTTGATGTCCTTGTACCTTTAGTGAAGCAAAATAATAATTCTATTAACTCTTCATATATACATCCCACATTCAAGTGTAAGGATTGGTGCACAAAGGTTGTGGTTCTAATATTAGAATATTTAAAGTTCATTATATGCGGTTCACTTCGACATAGTGAGATATAAAGATAATAGTTGTATGTAACATTATCCTCAAAGCTAAGAAATTGTTTCCAAGATTTGAATCTCCAAATTACAACGGCAGCAATGAATCTTATCATTACCTACCATCTTATATGTATGTTCTGCCATATCTTCCCAAGCAATAGGAAGTGCCTCTTAAGATCCATACCCAGATGTGAGCCATTCTTGGAGGGTGGCATCCACATCGGCCATCATTGTATCTAACTCCCAAATTACCAGCCTGCCCTTTGGTCAATCCACCCGTCATACTGTGGTACATGGTAAGGCACTTCACACAATGACTCTGATAACATGATGTTTATTATAATATAGGAAGTTGCTCATAGTGACTCATTTTTCTGAACTAAACATTTTATTTCCATTCTAGGCCCTTCGATTTTTGAGATGTTTTTAGATGCTTTGTATGTATGGTATGACAGTATGAATTACAATCACATAAATCAGGTAGCATGAGATTAATTGTTATAGTTGAACCAAAG